AGCTAAAGAAGCTCTTCATGATAGTTTGACAAATTCTGATCAGCATCTTAGAAAATATGTTGAGAACTATATGGAGAATGTGTATACTGATCATGATGTTAGGATGTAAGGGGTTAAAGATCATGCATGCATGCATGCGCGGGCGCGTCTTTAACCCCTTACATCCATAGCGAGCACTCCACGACCTTCCCACAGTCTTTTTGGACTATGTAGTAATCCCTGGTAGTGTTAACAAAATTTGCTTCATCAGTGTTATAGTTATTCTGACAATGTATTATATCAAAAGGCGTCAATTGGAGAAAAATCAGTGATCATCTCCTGGTATACCAATGCCTTTTTTAATTTTTTCATTCCCCTTTTTAGACTTCCAAATGAACGTTTTGTCCTCAGCATGTTGCGTTGTATCTCTTAACAATGCTCTCCCATCTCAGACATCTTATGTTTGCATGCATTTCGTCTCATTTATAATCAAATTTGCGAAACGTTATATCTGGGTAAGTTTTTAAGTTTGTAACTGATGTATCTCTTAAAGAAAAAAGTTTCTTTTTCGAGTTATTCGCATTAGAAGCAAGGGCTTTTACACAATGGACATGAGATACCATTCCTATGGTTATCTTTAGCCAATGTAATCGATTATATCAACATGTCAAGCAAGGCTTAGGAATTTGTTCTATAACACCATCCTATATGAGATGATGCAGAGTAGTAATGGTGATTTAGAGAGGAGCTACTTCCTCAAGGCGCCACTCGCCGCCATAAAGCCTAAAGCCAGCGATACACCTGGCGATTTTAAACGCCGATCGCGCGATCGCGGCGAACGGCGAAAATCGCCAGGTTTGCCGGTGCGGCGATTGCAATTTTCCCTGATCACCGCGATCAGAGTATAAAATCGCCGATATCTGAAATACCAGATATTTGCAATTTTATACGCCGATTGTGACGATCAAAATCGCCGCGATCGGCTAATAAATCGCCAGGTGTGTCGCAGGTTTAAGAGGGCTGTGTAACGACGCTGACGTCACAAACGCTCCATTGCTTCGGTACATTCTTCTCCTGTGTAATGTTTAGCGGATACACACAAGATTCTTAACCTTTTGACTCCTAACATTGTCTAATTTCTTCTCACAATATCAACCACGAATCACACATAAAGGCCACGAGAAAAATGAAAATTATCATCAACCAAAGAAGCTCTTAGATTGTCAAAAAAAATCTCCTTTTCAGCACCTTAGGAAACATCTAGAGAAGAGTTGGGAGAATATGCATACTGATGCTAAAGTGTAAAGGGTTAAACGATCACCACACTTGTATCAAGAGGGAGGCGTTAAAATAGTTTTAGAAACTTACAGAGGGACGCACTTTCTGCGATATTTCTCATTTGTGATTGACTGCAAGAGCATGTCGAACGTTACGCTTATGCGTGGAAAATTGTTAAAAAAAAGCATTCCCAGTTTTATTTCTATCAGCTTTTCCGATTAACACTTTAAAGTATCTATATTTGTTGGACCCATTTAGAGATCACCTGTTCATTTTTATGGAACTGAATATGAACATTATAGCGCTGAGTTCATATTTTGGATTAGGACCTGCGCATAAATTGTGAGTTATTCTTGACTGAGATAAATGAAATGAAAGTACCATGAAAAAGTTAATTTTCATGTCTGTTTCCTTCGAAGGAGCTATAAAGAACGAGTGAATTAAAATATGACATTCTTTATTGTTTACATTTAACGGATGACTTGGTTTCAACTTGACAAGAGCACTTGATCTTGGCAGGGGAGCTTCAAAATTATTGGCCAGTCTGCCACCAAAACAGCATTTACCCCAAAGACACTAATTAGATTCAGCCAAGCGAAGTTGAATAGCGTGAGAACTATTTGAAGGCAACAAACCTGCTTTTCTTGAAGAGAGATGGTCACTTTTGGCAGCCACAACCCTCCAGAACCTGTGTAGAAGATAGCAGGATATTTTTGCCTACGATCACCAGTGAAACTCACAAACGAGGTATTCTTGGGTACTTCTAAACATCATGATTCATCTTCTGTAGATATATTGTGTTCATCTCTTGGTGTCGTATTTCGAAACCGCAGAAAACGAATTCAACGCCTCATTGAATCGAAGTCTCACTATCTGTGTTCAAGGACTTTGTGCTTAATTAAATGGCGAGCGAGATTTAGGAAACTTAAGGTTGAAAATTATGAACTCGTCCCCGATCACTGCTGGCCAAAATTGACTAATCTACAGCTTTGAATAAACTTAGGTATGACTCCACGGAAAGGCGGTCGTGCAGCTGTTACATAATGAGCGCTTTTTTCATCTCTAAGCAATTTATTAGTAAGGTAAACAAAAACAAACCGTGAACCACTACAAAGGATCACGTTACTCAGTTTCCATCTTGCTCCATTTCGCAATTAAGATACAAGTACATTATATTTAAGGGATATGATCTGTAGCTTCAGCGTACGAAACAAAAACACAATTTTTTTTTCTTTTCCAGCCTGGTTAAATTGACACTGACAAGTTGCAAAATTTAAACCAAATAGAAAGCTCTAGAAAATACTGTTCATTTTTCAGGAAGAAGCCAGCTGGGCTAAGTAACAATCCAGTAATTTTTAATCTACTCGAAAGAAACAGGAAGTGATCAAGGTGGGTAACTACAACTAAAGTTTGATGACGTCAGATGGAAATCACTGGAGGCTATCTCTTTGATTTCTCTGTAACCAGCAACATTTTAGTTGCATCCGTTTTGGACCACAAAACGTCATGGAGGGCCACATTTTGATCGTAATTGATGGAATCTCGCCAATTCTATTTAGGCTTCAGGTATAGTGCATGAAGTAAACATCTTTGTGCTAGTTCAGCTGTTTGATGATATCACAAAATTATGAAAAGCACGATGTTCCAACCATGACCGTAAAGTAAATTGTTGTATAAAATTTTAAAGTTCTCCCGAGACAATGACAGAGGTTCGAGTCAAATTTTGTTTACTTTCATTTATAGATGAACGTCCTTAGTAACGCCAAAAAGAAATTGCTAGACAATTCCAAGTTCAGTCATATTCCACTTTTGCACGAACGTGATTAATAAGGTAATAAAATTCATCGTATTAAGATAAATTTTTTCATCCGTGTGATAAATAATAACATTTCATTAACTATCATCTGATAAGATTCGTGTTCCCCAATTTTTCCATTCGTCCATTTGATGTCCACAATCCTCCACAGAAAACACCAGGTATTTGATAATCATAATTAACAAACAAGCTGTAGGTTATTTAATTGCTCGTCTGGAAAATAAGTGGTAAAAAATAAATAAAATGCAGAAAAAAATACAGCGATTACAGTGAGAAGGGATTCAAAGAAACAGTAGAAAAGAGATTTATAGTCCGAAACAATCTGTCTCCATTAAAGGGTTCCAGTCTTCTCGATAGAAAGAAGGATTTTTATTCTATCCAAGCATCATAGTTTATTTATCAAGTTGATTTGAAGCAGTCCCTATGTTTTATTCCATAACTTCTAGTAACCCTTGCCCTCTTGCGTGACTCCAAAAACAGTATCACACTAACAATCTCCATCCGCCATCATCGCTTTAGAATATATCTTGTGAATTTATAGCCTCCTAAAATCTTCAGCTCATTCAGTTTTGACTTCTGAGTAGGAAAGTATCAATTTGACTAAAAAAGATGACTGTGTTGTTTTGAACTTACAAAGGGAAACCAAACACATTTTGTGTGGACAGCCGGAGTGAAGGACACAGATTAGGCACACCAATTTAAAATTACGCTGAAAGTCAAAGAAGAGAGGAGTGAAAATAGAAATGACTTAGTAATACATAAAACATTTAACTTTGATTTAAAGGCTCCTTGAAGCCGCCCTGAATTTAAACATAAAAGCCGATTTTTAATCATCATTTTACTCTGTTCATTCTCTCAGAATGGATCGGCGGCAAATTTCCGACAGAAACGTGTGCGGTGGCGTTGGGACTACATATAGCAATAAATTATTTTTGGCTTTTCCCTTTCTTTTCTTTTCTATGACAACATCACCACAATTAGTTATATGGTAATTTTTGGAAAAACAAAGCAAATGATGAGATTTGTTTGAGCTTGTAGCTTTTGTTTCTAGAAAGCGCTCTTTTTTGGAACAATAGGAGACACGATTCTTTGTTGCTAAGATATTTTGAATACCGCTGCTAGGATAAAGGGGCCTGTAAAAGCTGATTGCATTAAGTCACTCTCCACCTTGAAGTCTGTGCGAATGCTTCGGTCAGTGCCTTTGGGAAAAAACAGAAATCAGAAATTCCGGATTGGCGAACGTGAAGTTATTAGAGGAGGTTTGGGCACACAGACAACGTCGTTGACAAAAGTGAGTCGAAACCTAGCAAAATTTAGCACTATTGTCGGTTTAATCATGATCTAAAAGCGTACATTGTAAATGAATCGAGGACCTGGTTGATTTGTCAAGTCTGCATTTATCATATTTATTACAGAAGAATCTCGAACATAAAACATAAAACTGCTAGAAAAAGAATCGAAATATAGCTTGCGCTGCTGTAACGAAATCTTAACTTCTGCAAAAGAATAACATTTATTTACAGCCTGTTTGTGGCTTATTAATATTTCATGGCACTACAGGCCTAAGTAGAATTTTTCTTGAATCACTTAATTATGTCACGAGTCAGAACTTTCAGTTCATGTGCACAAAATATTTTTTTTTATTTCTCACTCTTTGAAAAACATAAATTTGGCGAAGGTTTCTCCAGCCAACCCACTGACAGACTTGTTTTAACACGATTTAGCTGTATAAGCGAGTTATTTATACCCTGCAACCAGACTGGCAAATGAACCGAGCAGTGCAAATATTACTCTAAAACTGAAAGCAGTTCCGAATTTTTTATTAACTTCATGGAAAGCTTTCTGTAGGGAACGATCTAGATATTGCGTTTTGACATTTTGAACATATATGCCGACACAAGATTTTTAATTTAGAATACTTAGTTCATAACTTGACGAAAGACTCGTGTTTTTTGTTTAAATTAGTTCTCTCCTTCTTAAGCATAAATTAAAGAAGAACTTGTCAGTAATAGACACCTGTCTTATCAAAAGATACCACGCTCAAATTTATTGCACCATTAAATCGATTCTTCTTCTCCGGTTCCATCATCGACGTGAAACTGTAACACGCCAAAATTTCACAGCAAATCATCAGAAATTTTTACTGCAAATTACTTCGCGACTGAATCGTGGATCCTATTATTCATAACGTTTACCTGTTTTATTAAGGTGTGAGATTAGAAATTACAAACGTTTTAGCTGTGAACACTGTCCATGATCCACTCACTATTTACCATTTCAAGTGTGAATTCGTAAGTTTACCTACGTCGAAAAAAATATCACCACTACTTACTTCTCACGAATTAGTGCAAGCCCGTGATAGTAGCCGATTTTGCCTTCTTAATTTGAATATTACCATTTCCTTATCTTAAACAGTATCGAGATGATGACCCACGCAAAGAAAGGCAACTTTCAAAGTGTGAAGACGAGAAAAAGCGAAAGAAAGTAATGGGATATTATTTTCTCTTGGTTAAAGATTTGTCAGAGTTGTTCGAAGTTTACATGAAATGAAAGAAAATTACTCGTCTCAATATGGCGATTCATATGGAAAAATTTTTTTGTTTACCTGTTTATTTGGTGCAAGGAATGTTTTTGTGATAATTTTTATCTTAAAAGAGCCCGCAGCGGAAGTTAATGCACCGAGTTGACCATAAGGCAGATGGCCATAAAGGCGATCAGTATGCAAATCGTAATACAGTTCAAGTGAAAAGTGTTGTCCTTCCAAACTTCTGCTGCGTTTACCCTGCGTATACCCTAAATATAACGTAAAAAGTTTGGAACTCACAATTTACTTTGTAATTTTTAGATCTTTTGCTATTTCTTGTCTCAATAACTTTATAATGTTTCTTTTACATATATCCTTTCGTATAGAGATAAATGGAGCTCTGGTGGATTATTTTGGCTGGCTGTGGAGGAGGCCTTCTTCTTGTCGCTTATGTGGCAGTTGTCATGTACAAAATATGTCGTCGCAAGAAAAGGTGAGGAAGTACACTCAAATTTACAGTGTCGTTCACAAAATTGCTAACTTTTGAAGTTAGGTGTTGTTGACTTCAGTACTTTCGTAAATTTATTATTAACTTTGAGTCTTATGTGTACCAATCTCGTTCATGAGGCACCAGAAATTTTTCTTTTCCTATATGTAATGTTTTATCGCCAGTTTCGCTGAGCTAAGTATATGAGGAAAACTGAATAACCAATTCAATTCGTGCAGTCAGCCGTCAATGGTACATTTTAGATTAAAACAACATTTAATAATCAGCCCTGCAAGTCACGCTTGTGATCATCAGACCAAAGTAGAGCTTTGATGAGAACTGATGGTTTGTTTTTGTGTGCATGAAACAGAGAATTTCACGGGAAGTCACAAATAGTGAAAAAAACTGTAGTACATTTTCTTTAGTGATGGAGAAAGTTATTCTTACTGCTGAACCTAATTTAATTCTAAAAGCCCCTCGGCCAAAAAGGAATTCATCAAGTCAAAATTTATAGATAAACAGATTGCCGCTGGCAAATCTCCATGGCTTTCTGTGGCTACAGACATCCACGTTAGCTTATTTACGCGCGGATCACCAATAGTTAGCGTCAAATTTTTCTCGAAGCTTACTTTGTTCGTATTTAATAGATAACTGACTTTTTAAAAAAAAAGGCATATCCTCCACTGTCAGTATTAATGCTAAGAAAATATTCTTTCTTGGCTTTTTATAAAACAGGTTCATTTAGTGCTTGACTATGGGATTGTATATCATACAGTAGTCTTACATAATCTTTTTTTGGCCGCATCGTTACAGGGTTCAGATGAACCAAGCGGGGGATCCTGAACGCTTCACTGATGGTAAAGATTGGGTAACTCACGTCAATCCAAGCGTGGTCTCTGAGAGAACAGAAGACGGACTCTGTATGGACACTAAAAGAGGTTCTACCAAAATTCGTCGCAAAGCTTCCACTGTGCTTATACCAAACACTTCTGTTAGCGAGATTCCAGGGACTTCAGACGCAGTTCTTCGATCCGTGCAAAGCGTTACATCTCCGAAGGCTAACTCTGCAAATAAACAAAACGGATCTCGGCCGACGGTTGTCGAGAAGCAAGCATCCACTGGACAAAAGTCACCTTCTGATGAAAAAAGTAAGGCCGCACCTTCAAGTAACAGTCCTTGTCTGGTCCAAAGGTCTGAATACACATGGGAAACATTGTTACGCCAACCAAGCGATGTGAGAAAAAACCGAAGCCAGTCATTTAACTGGGAAGTTTCGGAGCCAAGAAAACAAAACATGACTACTCGCTCCTTGAAACTAAAAAGAGGTGAAGAAGGAAGGCGATTTGTAAGAAGTAAATCCCTCAAAGGATACACACAGCGCGAGCTAGCCATTCTATCCACAGAGGAGATGCCTCCATCAACCGAACTAGTTCTTTCTGTAAAACGCGGTGGCGAAAACAAGAAAGGGAAGAGCCCCCAAGAATCTGAGAAGGATCAAAGCACAGACGCTGATACACGGAAGAGAATGTCTGTCAAATCTATGACTGCTGAGAAAAGCATAAAAATCAGCAGATCAGGATCTGCACCATCCATGACAGCTAAAGAGAAGGCAGTTAAAAATGTAGAGGCAATTATCAAACCTCGAACGAAATCGTATACATGGATTCCAGAGCCAGACTACCAATCGGTTTCCATCGAAGAGATCGTTTTAGCAAATCGAGAAAAAAACAAAGTTAATCGCGAAGATCAGGTGTGCATAGTGGAGATTCGCAACGAACCAAATGATTCAGATTCACACGTTAGCTTGTCTGCAGGAAACGAAGCCCAAATGATCGGTGCAGCGCAAGACGTGCCTAATGAAGAGCAATCGCATGAAGAACAAAACGACTTCAGCACTATAATTGATATCGTTGATATTGCGGTTTCCTCACCGTGCCCAGGTGTTGCCAGAAGAGTAACAACAGTTATGGATGATGACACCCCAAACACAAAGGAAACGGAGAAGACCAAGATTCTAATGGAAAGTAGCATAAAAAGAGAATTATCTGTTAAAAACCAAGTTAAAAACTTGGAGGCTACGATTACCAGTGAACAGCCAGTTACTCACCATGACCAAACTTCAAAAACAGAAAGTAATAACGCAGATGAAACGAATGTATCTTTTGGAACTGATATTAACAATAACGTCAAAACATTGTCCGGTTTTAATCAAAAGCCAAGTCCGAACAAAACGATAACAGTAGAGGCAACAGTCCACAATATCCCTAATGACCATCCTCCTTTCACAACCAAACCATCTGAGGTCAGATCGATTGGAAAATTGACTATCGTCAAAAATGTCGACGTGCCTTACTACCAGAAAACACAGGATTCGCGAAAGAGTATCGATAAAGCCTCCTCTATTGTTACAAGGCAATCATCTAATGCAATGTTGATTGGAAATGGGGGACTTTCAACGGGGAAAACCGATGAAATTCATAAAATTGAGACCTCGCCGATGCCTCCGCCTGTACCCTACTCAATACAACCACGGGCTTCTAGCCAAACGCAGGACACCACCAAAATAACTATTTTATCGAAAGATAATCAGAAAAATAGCGACGCAGTCCCTCAGCTGACCTCGGCGGAGGTACTTCAAAGGGCGTTACAAAAATCTGTGAAAGGCAATGCAGTGAACTTACCGCTAACAACGACAACACCAACACCAACTAAAACGTCAACAACAGCAAAGGAGGTAGACACCGAGCTTACTTTAGAAGAAAAGAAGAAAGTGTGGAAGCGAGAACAAATAGTGGATCAGCTGCATGCCGCTCGGACAAGAAATGAAAACCAGAGCTACGTATTTGGCACAGGACTGGCTTACCAGTCTTGCATGCCTGAACTGCAGAACAGGCTTAAACAATTAACACTTACAAAATGAATTCAAGGATGGAATAATGCCAGAATGTTAACCACTCAAGAAAGACCTTACAAACTGTTCCATAAAAACGCTCTTCTGGTCAATAAAATAGAGCTTCCTCGTCAATGGTTAACTATAAGCTAGCCCGGTGTGGTTTTTAATTGTTGTTAGAATCGCAGCCGGAATTTCTAGAAACTTTTAGTGGCCGAAGATTCTCAATGAAATATTCTATGTCAAATATAAGTAATTGACGTACTATCGACGAGTATAAGTCAACACATTATACGGATATGGAAAGAGGTTCGACTAGCCTCTAAATTCTATTATTAAATAAAGAAATAATACATTATCGTATACTCTTTGCGTATCGTTCCTTCTCGGAAAAAGGTAAATTTTAACGCCTTCACTCCCAAGAGTGGACCTTTGGTAGTCAATATTTGCAATATCAACTTGGTATTGCAAATATTGTACAGTGTCGAGTGAAAAGGTGACACGATGATTATGAGAGGGAAGAAAAATATAAATAAGGAGTGGTCTGATTACTGAATACCAAATTCTTTGAGTTATAGTTAACTATTATATGACAGACATTAAGGAGAATTGATATTGAGATCTTGGTAGTGAAACAGAGTTGATCCGCAGGTACATCTTTTTGGAAGTAACGTTGTTGTATTTGACACGGCCCCGAATCATTTGAATAGTTCCCCAGGCGTAGTGCAATCAGTAATGTGATAATATCAATAAAAATGAATATTTATTTTTAAAGCAAACATCGATCATCGAGAAGAAATCCCCATTTTTTTTTTCCCGAAGTAAGGGGTAAAAACTATACTGATAGGCTACGCCGGATTTTAATTCCCTATCAGGTGCAAGTCCGAGGAAGCATGCTCCAGTTTTAGGTAGCTATTAGGCGCGCGCTTCAAGCAAGCTCAACGCTCTGCGCGCGCAAAACTTATCCTAGTGATGAAGGAAGACAACTGAACAGCGTCTATTAGTTGTTTTTATGTCTGATTCAAGGGTCAGATATAATTGTTTACCGCGAACACTTTAGAAAGCCCCCGGGAATTATTAACGTCCGAGACTCTTGGGCTTACAGAGGAAGGAGTGGGCTTATTATAAAACTCACCAGCGACCACTAATTCGTGATTTTCCTTTGAATTTACGCCCAGATCTCAACCCACTCGAATAAATTATAATGCAAATGCCGTTAGACAGTTTTCCTTTGCGTGGAGCGGGAAGCGCAAGTGGTTAGCCACCATACCCTGTGTGCGCATAAGACACATTAGACTCCTCATCGGTGGGTTAGTGGTCCATTTTTGAAAAATTATTTCCTAATGGTGGTTGATAAAGTATCAATTGATACTCTCTTGATAATACCGAATATTGCGTGGCATCGCCGTTTAGGTTGGCTTTCTTAGGGTTGGGGTAAAGGTGCTCTCAGCTTCACCTCTGGTAAAACGAGATACAATGCAACTGCTTGTACACAAATTGTAGTCGTTCATCAATAACCAACAGCTTTTTAATAGACCCTGCCTTATGTTGAGCAGCTGTGAAACGACGCTGCAAATGCTACAATTGTTTTAACTATCCACTGGAAACTGTCATTCAAAGGACAGCTAAGCGTCACCTCCACTGTGAGAACGACGCACCGCCGGGACTCCTGTCAGGAAACAAACTACAATTGTCACAGATATAGGAGCATCCCGTGAGTTTTGATCTATGAACTTACTTGGCAGTGTGAATAGTTAGGTAAAAAAGCTTAATATAAGGATGCCTTGAATAACTGCTATTTTAGATAATGGAACACCTGGAGATCCCTCACTAAGACCTATGTTCATTCATCTCTTGACAAGAAGAACACGGGAGGTTATCGGGAGTTCGAGTCATTAAGCGATAAGAACATAATATACAACAACAAATTCAGGTGTGACTTTCCGAAAAAAAGGGTGTAACTCTTCAAAGTTTCAAAACAAGCTTGGACATGACTTCAAATAGTTTAAGGGAAAACTTTAAAACTTGCAAACACACACACCGGAAAAAAAGAAAAACAACAAGAAACTTTTTTTTTCACAATTTTCGATAAAACAAAGCGAATTTGTTCTACTTACTGTGAGCCGCCACCGAACGAGCCAAAAGCAGGAGATGTTTGTTGCGGCTGTTGCATTCCACCAAACCCTTGAGTGGCAGGCATACCAGCCACAGCTCCAAATGAAGGAACGTTAGACTGCCCGGCCAAAGCCCCAAAGGTGGGGCTGCCTTGAGATCTATAGGGTGTAAAACAACGTCTAACATGAGAAATTAAAAACGTGGCCATGCATCCTTCAGGGTTCGTACCCTTTTTCAGAAACAAATTTCAAGAACTTTTTCAGGACTCTTCTAGGACTCTGATTTTCCCAAGACTCCAAATTTCACTTCGTTCCTTTCATTCCCATTTCATATTTTCAACATTTCAAAATAAATTCTCCTTACGGTCTACATACATTTCTTACAACGTAGGTTCTGAAAACTTTCTTGCTTGAGTTAAGCAGATTTCCAGGACCTTTCCAGGACCTGTGGTCTTTTTCCAGGACTTTCCAGTCATGGAAAAAGGCCAAAATAATATTCCAGGATTTTCCAGGTTTTCTAGGACCTGTGCGAGCTCAGGTCCTTTTGAGTAATTTAACGGAGTTTTCATTTGTCACTGCCAAAAAAAGAACCTTTGGTGTCGAAGGAAAACGCTGCTTCAGAGGGACAGAAATACTCATTTCTCAAGACTAGACTAGAACTTCAACGACACAATGAGGGGTTTTACGGGATCACCATGATGACACACTTGAACAGTGTCCTCTAATCAAATTATAGGACTACATTGGGAAAGGAGTGAAATCAATTTTCATTTTCGACCAACCATTACTGACCATAACGGCAACGTTACATTGAGGAAAAGTCAGTAATAACTTACTGTCCAAATCCACCAGAATTGACACTTCCAAAGATCCTTGTGAATATACAAAGTAAAAAGAGAAGAGTGACTCCTTTTCAAATCGCAGCTATTACAAGTTACCTTCCGAAAATAAGGACAATTTATTCCTTTCATTCAGTCTACCTTGTGCAAGTCAATTTTCTTAGCGTTTTTCTATTTCAGTTCGTTATCGGTGAAGGGGCGGGAGAGGAGTGGGTCAAAACAAACAGTGGCAACACTTCGTTGATTTCTGTTCTCGTTTTTTACTACTGAGCATCCGATGCTGATTTCGCTGTATATTAAAACAAGTCTACAGTTCAAACAGAATCCAATCAGCTGAATGCAACAACGGAACTAATAAAGCACAACGCCTGACCTACCAAAACCTAAAGAAATAATAAAAACAAAATATGAACACGCCACCGACATCGCCTATTTGAAAGGTGGTCGAAATCCTGATCATTAACTTGCAATAGTGTTCGAAAGCTCTCTCTCTCGTATAGTATTTCTGGCTTAAACAACCAGTAAAAACTAATTCAATTCAAACAACATATAAACATTCAATACACAAACAAGTCTTACCCTCCCGTAGGACTAGCCCCCAGACCTCCTTGAGGGGATCCACCAAACGCTGAAGTACCTCCTAACGCAGGAGTACCACCAAACGCAGGAGCACCTCCTAACGCAGGAGCACCTCCTAACGCAGGAGCACCACCAAACGCAGGAGCACCACCAAACACAGACCCACTAGAAGCAGGTGAGCCAAAGGGTTGGGGTGTACCGAACCCTGAGGAAGCTGAAATTAAGAAGTTTGAGAAGGCATTATGAAAACCTTCAAATCAACTTACATTTCCCTTAACAAAAGCTGCAATTGACATTTTCTTTCCATGCATGAAAACTCATCATACAGTGAATACAGATAACTGTTATATAGCATTTTCATTTCTTGTGTTTGCTGCTATTGTTTTCTCTTGAAAGTTCGTCACCGTCTCATCAAGGAGCGAAAGAGAGAATAAATGGGTGGCTTTCTAATTCGTGATTGAGGGTAGACAAACGCGCTTACTGGCTGTAAAATGAACGACAAATTTAAAACTCTTTAAACCGTTAATTCTAAGACCTATTTTTATTTGCTGTTCAATACAGCACGAGCGTTTTCTCTTTCCCACAAGAATTCGTCCTGCTAGTCAAAAATACTAAATATCTCGGCGCTGCGTGAACTTTGGGAAGGTATGCGCGGCGACGGTTCGTAAGAAGCGTTTTAGTAAAGAGAGCTTTTACCTGATGGTGATGCAGCACCAAAGCCAAAACCACCGGCACCTACTCCAGTACCTGGAGCACTGAAGGAGCCTCCTGAAAAACCACCAGTGGACTGGGAACCAAACACAGATGAAGAAAATGGACCACCGCCGAACGTTGGCTTTGATGTATCACTCGCCTGACGTTAAAAATGAATAAATAATCATATAAAAATTAACACCCTTCCACCTCCATGAAAGAAAGAGAGAGAGAGAGAGAATAGAAAAAACGGTGTGCATGCGGAAGCCTACATTTCCGTAACGATTTTAATGAAACCTGTTCGATATCCACAGACAAACGACAAAGATTGATTAGGAACTAAATATGGCCGAGGATGCAGCATGATGGAATGTAAAAGACACTTCACAAGGTCGCATTGTAAGAAAAATATTTTTTAACATTACCAACCTTAAAAATATCAGCTCCTGACTTCCCACCAAACAATGAAGACTCTACAGTTAAAAACGAGAAAAACTTCTCAGACATAAGTAGCCATACTTCTATTGCTATGGAACTACAATCGACACCATGCGCAGTGAGCGTTAAACAATTTTCTAAACATCTCTGCCAACCTTGTCCCCATTAAAATGATTCAACAAGGAATCAGCCATTACGTTACCAATTCCACGCTCTGAAACAAAGTAAGCATTACTCAACAGTCAGGAATGTCAGCCACAAAAATAAAAAGTCATAGTTTACGTGTAGACGTGGGAGCCTGTAATCCTTGCGTGACGCCAAAAGGGTTCGTCTTGCTAGTCTGTGGGCTTGCTTGTCCACCTAAACCAAAGCCACCAAATCCAAATCCTAGAGCTTAAGGAGAAAAAAGGCAGTCTATAGTAAGTTACTAGTATCCAAGGTACCATGACAGACAGCTTCTTATAATTACCATAAATTAATTCTCAGAAGGTTATAGTATCAGACAGCGAAACAAATTAGCTCTAACGGAGTTCGTTTTCAATGTTTACAGGAGAGGATTTGCTTGAAAATGTGAATGAACATATGGTAGACACTTTTTGCCTAAAGGTTCCGACAGGAAGGCTGCAAGTTATCACAATGGGACTGCACTCCAAAAGTTTTCTTCTTATAAATATAATATGAAAATAGAATTCAAACGTGGCAAGTCTCTTTGGAATTCTGAGAGTTGGTCAATGTGAAGGGAAGAAAAGTGGAGAAACCTGCTCTTTTCGTAAAGCCTTCTCATAAACAACCCAGAGACAAGTCATGTGGCTATGGAAAATTACCACCCAACAGTTTACATAAAGGTTTTTACTTACTATTTTCATTTGGCTTGGAGGCAGTGCCAAACCCACTACTTGTGGTAGAAGCAAAAGGTGACTGCCCAGTGGAAGATACCCCAAATCCTGTCCCTGACCCTGTGCCGGTCGCTGAGCTTTGCGATCCAAATACTGATGTGGAACCAAATGTGGAACCTTGGCTGCTGACAGGGACGCCGAAAGCTGGAGGAGTGCTTCCGAAGGTGAGGCCTCTTGAAGCTCCAAACACTGGAGTGGGAGAGAAGGGAGTTGATGTGAATCCTCCGAAGACGTTTCCAGAGGCAGTGGTAGTTGAAGTAGCGCCTTGAGAGCCAGAAATGTTACTGCCTGTCGATAGAACTGCACCGAACGCACTTGTGGTGCTTGTGATTTTTCCAAACAGACCACTTGTAGTAGCAATTGAGGTTGAAGAACCTGGAGATGAACTTGCAACCACGTCTGTTGATTTAGGTGTTGTAAAAGTGGTTAATGAAGAACCTACTAATGTTGAAGAGGTGCTTTTGGAAGCAGAAGTGATACTGGGGAAGAAAGGACTCGTACTACTTGTCACAGAAAAAGCAGATGATGCAGAACCAGCTGTGAAACTGAATGCACTACTCCCTGCTGAGGTGACAGAAGGCGCAGCTGTTATGGCACTTTTAGCGCCACCAAGAGAAAAGCCAAATTCACCTCCGGATGCGGGCGTAGCAGACGTGGCAGCCGTAGCGGTCATAGTTGAAGCTCCAAAAGCACTTCCTGTGAGTAGTGATGTGCTCCCTATACTTGTGAAAGACGGCGAACTCGACTTCATACTTCCTGAAAGGGCCTGAGCAAATGGACTTGCAAATGCACTGGTGGATGTTGTAGTTATGGCTGCAGCACTGGTATCTTTGTTCTCAGATGGAGTCCCTTTAAAAGGCAGAGGGACCTCCTCGGGAAGTGAGCTGACCGTAGGTGCTGCATCACCAGATGCTGAAATACCTCCTATGGCAGACGTTCGCAACAAGTTGCTCATGATGCTTGTGGAACCACTGCCTGTACCAGCAGAACCAAATAGACCACTTACACTGCCAGATGAAGAAAACCCTCCACCAAATGAGGTTGTAGCGGAATTCGAGGACCCTGCTGCTGTGCCCGTAGTTACGAATTCTCTGGAAGTGAAGACAGATGAAGCTGTGGTGGTCTGTCGAAAACAGGAAAAAAACACTAGTTTCCTTTTCATAGTTTTTTTTGTACTAACTAGCAGTAAATTCCAGATGCTAATTTGGAACTTCACACTAATTGAGGTGAAAATTGGCAAATTCTAAACCCTCCTTTAGAATAAAAGGTCAACTTAACGTGTCGGGGGAACGGACTTCAAATTTACCCAGTCCATTCCATGAAGTCGTCTACGTTTCTTCATCGTTTAGTCTTTAACTAACCACTCGACACTGTGGAAATGTATTTGTGTGAGTCGCTATCACGTTAGTACTTAAGAAGGCCTTGCAATTTTGTGTTTAGCGACCTGAAATAAAGTCGATGTCTTTAATATCTTCATCACAAGCCTCAAAGTCTACGACGTTTCCATTTATTATTAGTCATCACAAAATACCCAGTTTAAAAGACTCACCTTCGCTTCATCCTTTCTAGTTTCTTGCTTCAATTCTTGTTCGCCTCTCGTTGGTATTGCTTGCTCACCTGCATTTCCTGCTGCAAATAAATTCCTACTCACTCTTGCGCTAGGAGTGATACCCACGGCTGGTGTCGAGGAAGTAGTTGCTGGTTTAGGTGACTCAACGCTTGCCGCAGCGGTAAGACTAGAAGCTTTGGCATCTGCTGTGTCTTTCGCTTTACTACTGAAACTAAATGCACTGAATGCTGGAACGGCAGTCCCAGACGAAGTTCCCAAGTTGAATAAACTTCCAGCCGGTGGAGCAAAGCTGAACCCGCCTATAGCCTGAGTTCCTGACAAAGGCTGCCGCAGCCCACTAGTTCTGGACGTCGTGGACGATGTCGGCAATGGTGGTGCAAATGTAGGTTTAACTACACTATTTGGATTCACAGTGACATTGGGAGCAGCAGAAAACTTGGTACCACTCTCATTTATTTTTGGCGGAGAGGCAGGTGGCTTAAAAGTGACAACTGGAGGGCCAGGCTTGCTACTGTCAGGGGATTTGAAGACAAATTCTGTGCTATACTGAGGCTTTGTGGAAGACTTCTGGGCCTCTGCTGTAGCGGCCATCAATGCTGCGTCGGCAATTGCTTTCGCAGCAGTGTTGCCTGCATCATAGTCCTTAGTTGGTGCACTTCCTTGGGACTGTGGTTTGTAAGTCACCAGAGTTACTGGTTCGATGCTCGCTGAAGGATCAAGGTTGCTACTTGACTGAACTGTTCCTTGGGTTGCACTGGCTCTACTCATTGCAGCCATAGCTGCAGCAACGTGCGGAGGTGTTTCTGTGCTTATAACCTTAACATTGGGCTTAAAGTCACCTTTCGGCTGAACCACTGGTGCAGGCGAGGACTATAAACGAAACGACAGAAAGAAAGCGAAGATGATGTGTCGGAAGAGATTGGGAACAATAACGAGGAGGACATAACGGTGAGGAAAAAGAAAAAAAAAGGTAGTGAAAACAAAAAAAAAGAATACTTTACCTCTTCCTTCACTGGAGGAAGTTTTAAACCAGTTGCTGGTTTGACTGATTCAGCTTGAGGTGCCTGTGATTCTGACGTCTTAATGCCTTCATCACTGGACTTATCAACTGCAGAAAATGCTCCACCTGCAACAACCTTCGGACTGTCCCTGACTTGTTGCAAATTGTTGATATCAGCTGATCCTCTCGCTGTTTGAGTCGCTGGCTCCTTTAATTCAGCCGTTCCTTGTGAATTCCCCAAACTGAAACCGCTCTTTGAAGTGTCTTTAACTGTAGATTGTACAGGTTGCGAATCAGGCGCACGTGAACGGGTTTCTTGGACTTCGCTACACGGATTAAGCTCTTGTTCCTCACTGGTGTCGTCATCCTGGGACTCTTCCTCGGAAAGGCTTTCTTCACTTTGCCTTTCAGCCTCATCAAGGGGCTCAAAGCTACCTTTGGATCGTTCTGCCATTTCTCCTCGCTCTAGAGCAGGAGTCGAAGAAAAGAATGACTCTTCAGGCTTAGCCGGCTTCACTAAGGGTGTCTTGTTAACCGTAGGAGGAACTGGAAAAAAAATTAAGAGTTCGTAAAGAGTATTTTGAAAAGGTTAAGAACCCTGGCACTGCTAAAGTGGAACCGTATGCAGAATCATAATTAGTCATAATTACTTAAAATATTTTTATTTCAGACAATGTCACTTAAAACTAATGTACTGTTGAGTTTTCCTGTAGATTACAAAATTCAAATCAAAGGAGAAAAGAACAGGGAATATTAACTCCACGTTCCTTTGCAGGAACAAAGTCTGACTGCACACTTGTACTTTCATGTGATTTTTTTTTTAGCAACGTAACCATCTTTTTAGCCTCGTCCACAAAGGAACATCAAATCGCAACATCCGCTACCATCAGATATTGTTCACAAATAAAGCCAATGGATGCTCCGAGCAGCTAAGGAAAAAGGGAGTCTGGTATGGCGAAACAAAATGGTAAATACAACGGGCCAAACTGGACTAGCCCCGTTGGCGTTAGAACCATTGAAGCTGACGAAAGCTTGCAGTGTGTAATAACAATAATGATAACAATAACAAGACTTACCAGGCATGCTTTTTCTCACTGGGGTAGTTCTCCGTTTCTGAAACATGTTTCTAAGCTTGGCTCGTTTTTCAGGGGATATTGGAGCTGTAAAATAACCATAGGAAATATCCAAAATAATATTTTCACTAAAATAGAGAGTAATGTTCAAATGAGTGACAAAGTGATCCTGGATTGCATTGGTTTTGCTTTAACTTGCTCTATGATTGATCCCAAAAACTTGCACCAATTCTCGACCAATCAGATTCAACTAACACCAAACACGATTTGGTCACCCGCGTTTTCCCGCACTTCAGGCACTTTGCCTGTTTCTTATTATCTCCATGTGATATTTTCCTTTGCTCTGATTGGCTGTGCCTGCTCTGGTTTCAGTTCCCCGACACGCAATCGAAATGTACCCCATAATCGCTCACTCAGTATGAATCACTATGGGAGGGCGAGTTGAGTTGATAAAATAGGGCTACATTGGTAGTTGTCCCCTAGAAAACGGCATTTTGATCCTTCTTCAATTTTGAAAATGTTTGATATAAATACACCTTGATTGAGTACGAGGAAAAATGGAAGCCAAACTCTTTACAAAAAGAACAAAAGTGTAGTAAACAATTGGTACAGTGCATGATTAATGGGTAACCAGAGTTTAAAATGGCTGAGGTGTTCCACTACCAAAACCATTGTATATGAATAGGTTTAAATGTACCTGAGACGGGTTTTGTAGGTGATTTTAATCCCAGTTTCGAAACAGAAAAGGGGTCACTTAAAGGGGAAACGTCATCTCTGAAATGGAAAATAAAATTCAAATTTAAACAATAGAGCATAATAAATAAAATAATAACAGTAGAAAACGAGGGAAGGGGAATAATTAATTGTAATTTTCAGTGGATATCAATTTCAGCTAAAAGAGAAAGGCAGTGATGAAGTTGAATTGTAAAACATTTTACCAAACTGTACAAACTCTCACGTGCTCACAGGTCAAGACCTGTGTAAGCAAGCTGAAACTGGGCGTTGTACTTTGTAATCACGGATTTCAATTATGAAACGATTTGCTTTTTGTTTCGAATGCCAAATTCAAACTCGCGTAGACTCGTCTACGACACACAACTATTTGAGGAGTGGATTGTGAATACTGACATTGATGTACAATTGTAGTCGATTTGTAAAATACAATTAATCTAATACCTTAAAGGTGTTGTAGACATCGGATTTCTTTGCCAAGAGGTTGACACCAGGTTGCGATTTTTCATTCCTTGTACAATTTTGTCCAACTTGACCCCCTGACAAATCGAATCAAACAGTGAAATAAGGTTTTATGTTCAGATACGAACCGTCGAGATACCACATGAATGAGAATGAATATCTTTGAGACTCACCTGATCTTGTGCTATCTTTTGGTGCATCCTCAGTGTCTGGTAAACGTCGGCTAGCGCAGGACGTTGGATAGACCTTCAATTGAAGCGAAACAATAGCTCATTTTGGAAAAGAGTGATAGCCTGAGAACAAATGTCGCCGCGCAA